TACCAACAAAATATATATCTTTTTCTACTCTTTAGTGATAAACAATACGTAAGTGATTTGAATTCATGTTGTTATTTTTTACACACAGTAATTTCGCTCAATTATATTAAATTAATTTTATCATTTATTTATTAAAAAATATATATATATACGAAATTGGAAGGTATACACTGAGATGTGAATTATATGTTTTTGTTTAATGAATACTTCTTCGAGTCAACAATAATTATTAATTCCAGCATGTTAATATCTCTTCAATCCGTTAAAGTAATGTAAATATTTTTTTTTTGCTTTCGCGCATGGCTTTGATCTGTCGCACCCTTTGAGGCGCGTTGCAAGAGAAAATTTTCTAAAAAGTTAGCCAATGTTTATAAATGAGAGAAAAACGATTGTAACAAGCTGATTGTGCATTGTGGTACAATAAAAGACTCGTTTCCACTGCTTTAAAATTTGGAAAAATTTGTAAAAAATCTCCTAAAATCTTTAATTTATTTCCAAAGCCACCCGATATGGCATGGAGCATAAATTCAGAGCAAAATAAGATTTGGAAATTTATTTGCATGTAAAAGTTTTTAAATGTGGACATTTTATTGAATTCGAATTTGATTATGTTGCTGCCAGTCTGAATGGAATTAAAAAAAAAAACAAAACTCTATGATAGAGTTAAAATGTCCATATAGAGCTGAAGGGCTGACTGTAGAAGAAGAAATATGCAGTAGAGAAATAACTTTTTGGAAAAAGAACAATTCCATTAAGGACAACCACTATTGGTATTTTCAAATTCAGGGCTAGCTGCACATAACACAAATGGATTTTTGCATTTTGTGCTTTTGGACTTCTGGAGGAATAAAAGTGGAGAAAATATCTCATATTGACAGCTTTAGAGAAGAAAAGATACAAAATAAAATTAAAATTTTTTATATGCAATATGTCTTGCCGGAACTTGTTGACAGCGAAGCAATAGAGACATGGAAGTACGGGACAGAATATTAAATAATTCGTGAGAAATTTTGTTTAATGTTTATTAACATAACGCAAGGAATCTTATATTATTTTGAATATTTTTATTAATTTAAGAATTAAATTTTATTTATTTCTAAAACATGGTAGTAGGCGATCCATTTAAGATATGATTAATGTCTTATTATTATAATACACTATTTTAAATTTAAGATTTTACCAGTGGCAGTGGTAATTGATGATATATAATTATTATTATTATACCAAATGTTTTAAAAGGCTACACCAACTAGTGGACCACGATTTTAAGTCCCCAAATAATAGTTTCAAGATTTTGATTCGGATTAGAAGTTTTACTATACAGGGTTTTGTGTCAAAGCCAAGTCATGTAGGTATTGTTATTGTAATACGTAGATGAGTAACTATTATCAATAGAAATTTAAAATTCAAACATAAATCTTTGTAACGACGTTATTTATAACTTTATTAACTTCATAACGGTCAAAAATGTTAGTTAACTTATTTAATTTTAAATATAAATTGATTTTCATTTAGAAATTTTCGAAAAGTTCACTATATTGTTTAGTTGTTGCAACTTTACTGTGCTTAAGTAGCGTTCAGATTAAAATATGAATTTATGGAGCTTTAGTGAAAAACAGAAACTAATGCTTTCATTCCAAAAAAAGTTTTATGGCCAATAAAAAAAATTTCGAATTGTGATATCTGCAAGTCCTTATTTAAAACCTTTAAATTTAATATTATCATTATACAAGAGTTATTTTTACAAATTAATACAAATATCGAACATAAGTTTGTCGACATAAACATTTCCATAATACAAATAAATATATCTCTGTTAAAGAATACTCATAATTTATTTAATATATTCATTTAAACATGTTTTTGTTTTTTGTCTAGATGATATTGAATACTAACTTTTTCTATATAACTTCTTATCGAGATATTGTGAGATAAAAAACAGACAATTAATTAAAAGTGTACTCACAATTTTTCAGGTATAGAAGTTTCAATGCTATACTGTTTCCCAAATTATGAAAATACTAAAGAATATTAAAAAAATAAAAAAAAATAAAAAGCCAATTAAACAATGTGTTAATATCTACAGAAGAACATCGTATTTCTTTTTTGGAAATAAAAAGTAGTCGAAAATTGTGAAAATAACAACATATTTTTATTTCACAAAAATAGTAAGTCAGTTTTTGTTTTTTATGTAAATCATATCATTTTCAAGGCAATAAAACAGAAGAAAAGTCACCGAATACCGATTTCAAAAAGTTCTATTAGTTTTTCTAGGAAATGGAAAGAGAAAGAACGCTTTTTAAACGAGTTAAAATTCTTTACTAATTTCGATAACTATAAACGGATTAAGGTATTTTGTACCGTGTTAAAAAATTTAAGAAAAATTTTGAAGAATATTTCTTTTTTTTTTTAAATTAGTAAACTTTGACAAACATATAAAATATTCTAAAAGATAAATCACATTTATGTGTTTGTACAAAAATTTTATTTATTTTTCTAAAATAATATGGATTGTCCTCTAAAATATATATAGTGGCTCGCAAAAAGTCTGCTTTTTATGTTACTTTTTTCAGAAAATGTTATTCCTGATAAAACTTGGTGTTTAATTAAACCTAAAACTTTATTTATTCAAAAAATTCTGTACCATAAATATAAATTTGGCTGCACAGTGAACTAGGTACTCTTTTAGGAATCGAACCCACATTTTTACATATAAGATTAATTTAAGAAGATGTATATAACTCCACATAGTAGTTTTTTAGTTAATACAAATAATATAGATTATTATATCCTTTTTAACCTACTTCAAAAAGGAGGAGTTCTCAATTCGTCTGTATATATTTTTTTTAAGTATGTTCAGCGATAATTCTTTAACACAATGTCCGATTTAAATGATTCTTTTTTGCTGGAAAGGGGGTACTTCCGGGATGGTCCCTTAAAAATTTGGTCAAAATCTAATAATTGGGTCAATGGGAAAATCCTCAAACTTTTCATTTTTTATGTATGTTTAGCGATAATTCTTTACCACCTTGTCCGATTTCTATAATGCTTTTCGTTAGTAAGGGGGTACCTCAGGGGTGGTCCCATATAAATTTGGTTCAGATGTGGTGATGGCATCTGCACGATTTTAAAGTCGGTTTTTTAAAATTTCTTTTAATACATCTTACGTAAATAAAAAGTTTAATAATTTGGTGCTTTCTTGATGCGTCGTTTTATGATTTCACTTTGCATATGTTTAAGTACAGATAATTGTTATTACTGGCAGTTTATTTTAAATCGTTAAAATAATATTTTGTTGATCCAAAGAAGGCAAACAAAAAAGCCATATCACATTCAGTGTAATAATAAAAGTTAGATATATAAATATAGTATATATATAACAGACTAAACTTTCACTTTCAATCTCACCTTTTGTCGTAAAAGACTTTTAAATTTTTTCCAGTGACGTCCGTACCGGGTTTGAACTGAATATTTTTGAACAAAAATATGGTGCGCCACTGCTTTTTCTAAATACCAAATTATCTTTAAAATCCTTATTTATTTTGGAGCAAATTTGGTTCATGACGTACTTTCGTACAAAGCACCCTTTTCGGGTAAGAAAATAAAAACCAGTATATTGAAACTGCTTTTGATATTTTGTTGAAATTTGGTAGGAACCCACCATGAGTGGAAACACTTTTTTTGGACAAAATTTCATAAAAATATCTAGAGTGATAAGAAACTTATGATAAAATAGTTTTTTTTTTTCTTAAAACTTTAACACCCAAACGATTCACACCTCTAAGTATCGGCACTCAATTAATAAATACCCTGTATTAATTGATATTACCTTATTCGAACCAATCGTCTATTTTTTCGTTATTTGTATTTATATTTCACAACTCTATACTCTTAAATGTAATTTAATCTAACTAAACCTATTCACTAAATTAAAATATTAAAATAATGTAAAACCCTCTAAAAATCGAACTGCGTTATAACAATATCTCGCAATGCACCGAGAAAAATAAATACGATTCTGGTTCCCCTAATTTAGGTAACTCTGACTCACTCGGCAGCCGTGTTAGGTGTTTTCGGTTCTTTTTTCTTAATTTCGCGCGTTAGAGCTTGAAATACGTATCCCTCGTATCTACAGGCAATTGTTAAAATTATGAATGAATGCGGATTTTGTTTAGTCTCGGAAGTAATTTTGTAGTATTTAGGCTCCACCCTAAAGTTGTAATTTTTATACCTACTAAACTACCGTTGCCCCGCAGGTCTTTCAGTTTGTAATGTAAATTTTTCTCTTAAGAGAAATCACATTTGTATTGGAAACGTATTTCGAGCCTAAAAGTTTTTTGATATTTTCAACGTTCTATATAGCACTCGATAATGTACTTTTGATTAACGGATTCTTAGAGCATATTGGTTGAGGATTCCATTTATGTACGATAAAACCTAGCGCCGTTAATTTTTCGCTAAGAAAAATTTGAATATATATTTAAAGTTTTTTTTTTAAAGTACATATATTCATAACATTTTTACTGATATTTTTTTTCCAAATACGGATATCCTCACTTTGTTATTATCATAATTATTGTTATCATTACTAATATTATTATAATAAGACAAATTAAGTAGTAATATTGCTTTATTTTATGATATCTAACTTGTATGCATTTTCTCACACAGGCTGCTAACTCTGGCTGCTAGTTTCAGCTTCATAAGGATATCGACCAAAAGTGCTAAAAGTGATTTACTTTTAACACCAGTGACATAAAATTACATTTTAGACACTGACAGCATGCGTTAAAAATTATACTTTTACTGACGTTTGTAGAAAAAATTAATTATATATTTTTTTCTTAATTTTTGACTTTGCAAAATAACCTCTCCGTAACATGTTACCTTGAATAAAGATTTTTATACACAATTTCTTAAAGAAACCTAATTCTATTAGGTACATGCTTTCGTCAAAGAGAATCCTTAAAAATGGGCGATTTATATTATCTAATTATGCCCGTTTTCTTAGATTAAAAATCGTATAAAAGAAAAGCTGCTTTTCTCGGAAACTCGAGTCGTTGCCCAAGAGCGTCTTCGTGTTTATTTTAATGTAAAAATTAGTTTTCCTATAACATTCTTTCCGTGCTTATAATTTTTGATTAACCAATTAAGGGTAAGTGTTTTTAAAGAACAGTCAAAATATTATTATACTCTCCAAAATTGCATATAATTTTCCATGTAGTTACGGGAATAAAGAGTACGAGGAATTTAAATTATTTGGAAAATTATTTTGGCATAGAAATTTGTTTTTATTAAAAATACAACAACTTTCATTGCAATGCAACACTAGTTCCTAATTGGCTGGTATGCTGATCTAAATCGTTTAAATTACATAGCTGCAAGCGTAGCCTGATGGCTCTTGATATTTTTAAAATTTAAACTTGTTTATGCAAAAGCAAGACATAATATTACGTGGTCTTAATAATTCCAAATGCCATTGGCAATTCAAGCTAAGCGGTACGCCCTCTGGGGTACATTTTAAAACATGTGTAGGCTAGTCATTATTAAAATTGTAACAAATCTATGACTATTTTTAACCGACTTCAAAAAAGGAGGAGGTTCTCAATTCGTTGCGATTTCAATATTTCTTTTTTTGTTAGAGAGGGGATACTTCAGGGGTGGTCCCATATAAATTTGGTCAAAATCTAATAATTGAGTCCATGAGAAAATCCTCAAACTCTTCATTTTTTATGTTTTTTTAGCGATAATGCTTTACCACCTTGTCCGATTTATATGATTCTTTTTTTGTTAGTAAGGGGGTACCTCAGGGGTGGTCCCATTTAAATTTGGTTAAGATGTGATGGCGTCTGCACGTTTTTGAAGTCGGTTTTTTTAAATTTTTAATTTTTAATACTTGTTAACCGACTTCAAAAAAGGAGGAGGTTCTCAATTCGTCGTAATATTTTTTTTTATGTATGTTCAGCGATAATTCTTTAACACGGTGTCTGATTTCAATAATTCTTTTTTTGTTAGAGAGGGGATACTTTAGGGGTGGTCCCATACAAATTTAATCAAAATCTAATAATTGGGTCCATGAGAAAATCCTCAAACTCTTCATTTTTTATATATTTTTAGCGATAATGCTTTACCACCTTGTCCGATTTATACGATTCTTTTTTTGTTAGAAAGGGGGTACCTCAGGGGTGGTCCCATATAAATTTATTCAATATTTAATAATTGTATCCATCAGAAAATCCTCAAACACTTCATTTTTTATGTATGTTTAGCGATAATTCTTTACAACCTTGTCCGATTTCTATGATTCTTTTCTTGTTAGTAAGGGGGTACCTCAGGGATAGTCCCATATAAATTTGGTTAAAATGTGGTGATGGTACCTGCACGATTTTGAAGTCGGTTTTTTAAATTTTTAATACTTGTATTAAAGTGGAACTCGACAATAAAAATCTAAATGTTCTGATTTCAGTGACAAAGGTAAAACGCTAACAGCGGTGCCTCACTGCTAGACGAAAATTTTCACTTGAAACTAGGAATAATGTCTTTAAGCTAAGGGGGGGGGTAAGATTAATTCGTGCTAGTGATGCCGCGAGACGAGACGAGAGAGTGGCCTTTCTCGTCTCGTCTCGTAAAGCGAGAGAAAACTGTTCTTTCGTCTCGAGAAGAAGACGTTTCTCTCGCTCGAGAGAGCCTTTCTCTCGTCTTGACCCGTTTCGTGTCTCTTGTGATAAAACAGTATCAAATTTAAATTTGAATAAGACGAAACATGATAAAACGGTAAAATTTATAAGACAAAAACAAAGAATTTTTCAAGTAATTTGCGCATTAGTACCCAAATTTGACAATAAGAAACACTTATGTCTGTCTGTCCGCCTGTCACAGTCGTTTTACAATTGAAATTTGAAGTAATAAGTGGCCCAGATTAGGCGTTAACTAAAAACGAAAATATTTGTCTTGTAAACCCGTTGGGTGGAGGGGAGGGAAGAGGGGGACAAGAGGTTAAATTGGAACAATTTTTCTAATGTAATCCTGCGATGTCAAATGAAAGCATTTTGTAGTATGAGATGTGAAATTAGAGAAACATTATGATATTTTTGTTATAATGAGATGCACTTTACTTGAGACGTAAAATAGAGGGCGTTAGGTACTATCTTTAAATTTTCTAATGGAAAGTAAATACCTCATTTGAAAGATATTTTGATTATATTTACGTCCAAGCAAACAGTTTTAATTTTTTTTCGATTTTACAAAAATTACATTCTTGATAATCCTACTGCCTTCACAGTGTTTCTTACACCATTCATTTGATTTTAAGAAGTCGGCTTTAGGCCAGTGCTCAGCGGAATACATTATCCACATATCGTAATAATGTGAAACAATCTATGGCCGCTATTAAAGGAACAAATATGGGCGCCAAGTTATACTTACAATAAAATTGTAGAAATTCTTAATGAAATAATGTGTATACTATATGTAATTAAAAGTAAAAAATATTTACAGTTGTTCTACCACAGATGAATTAATTCATTGCTGGCCAACTAAATCGAACCTTATATGAGATCTAGTAGTTGAGCCATAACACGGAGTTTTCCCTAAATAGACCAACACATATTGACCGGCAGCAGCATTAATCGTAAAATGCGCCTCGGGCCTCGGCAACCAACACTAAAAAAGCTCAAGTAAAAACCGATCAATTAAATGAATAAGTAAACATTTACCATATCTAGTATCTTTGACAAATATCGCCCTAATAATATAAAGTTGGCTTACAACTAATGACTTTCGTTCCCGCTGATCCAATATTGTGCACCATTCACCAACTAACTTATTTAGCATATCTATCTGAGCTTGAGACATGGAAGAATACAAACAAATATTCTTTAAACCTGTATAACACATTCAAAACTAAACTTGGTTATATTTGGAACTTCTAAATGCTCTTAAAGCTTACGATTTTAAACTGATTTTCATTTGGGATATGAGCAATACTATATCCTCTCTAAAAATCCCCACCTCTTCTATGCTTCCCTCTCCAATATTTATAATATACAAGAATGAAGATGTGCTAAGGGTGGGGTATTATCCCTTCCACCAATGTTTACGTTGCACGTGTCTGCTGAAGACTAGCGACTAGCGCTTTACTTTAGCTATGACGGTTGAGAGTCAAGGATGTGTTTAGGTATGCCCCGACGTATTTCCCCTATACTACAATAGTAATCACTGAGATGTACTTAGATTAAACTCATTACCTACATTATATACATAGTAATTACTATCTAAGCGGTACTTACTATGCTCGTTACTTGCTACCTGATATACAAAGTAAATACTCGAGGTACTTACATCTCTATGTGTATGAAGTAATTACACTCATTACACCATACATGGTAATTGGGAGGTATTTGCTAATTGCGTGAAGGATGAGTGGTGGGTACTTAGGATAATTACTAATTACTCAATTACCTCTCTTTGTACCTCTGACCTTGGTACAGAACTGGCTAATCTCATCTACTAGTTTACTTAAATCGGCTTATTTTGGTCCAAGGAGTATGTGGTATGTTTTTGTAAAGACCTTTTACAGACCCTCTATATCTATTGAATCGCTGTTTTGAGAAACCTTATATGTCCAAAAATCAATATTTCGAGAAAAGCTGAAAAAACTGTTTTATTTAAAAACCACTTGAACATCTATAAAGACAATTTCCTCAATATAAAGTATAGATACTTGCTGTAAAATGTTTAGCAAAAACGAAAAAATAATCTTTTGGTCTTGTGACAAAAAAAATAAAAATGGCAGTGGACATGTGTGGTTTCTTAACTATATACACAAGTTTTTTTTAAATTATTTTATTTGGTCAAAATAATGATAAAAAAAATAGTAATAAATACGGTTAGTATTCAATAACATCATCATCGTTGCCACCAACAGTTGGGCATGTGGGGTTTCTCAAATAAGCCATTCTATTGTATTTCACCTTAAAGATGTTCTATTTTGTACTTTTAGACTTTGAAAATGTATATATTTGTAATTAATTTTTTTTAATTGGTTTTTATTTTATTTAATATTTAAACATTTATATTCGTATTAAAGCGAAATAGGGGGTGGGTGGCTCAGTGGTAGAGTCTCTGCCTGCGGATTCAAGGATCCCAGGTTCGAATCCCACCATTAGCCGGGATTTTTTTATTTAATTTATTTATTTAAAATTAATTCTGATGCCTTGGTAGGATTCCCCACTCGACCATTCACTGTTGGGTTCTAATTAACAGTGGTGTTCCTACAGTGGCGCTGGGAAACAGTAACAAAGCCTACACAGAACACGAGGCGAAATAACCTTAGTAGTTGAAGCCGATGACACACTAAAAGCGAAATAAATTGAGTAAAAGGCACATATAAAAAAATTATGTTAGGTATAGTGATTATACAATAACTATTAGGACTAGTTATTTATAATTGAATAAATAAATATATCTCAGTTCTCTTCTTTGATAAAGACACAATACTAAAATAAGAATAATTTTGTTTAAATTATTGTGCTTCCTTTTATATTTGTTTTTTCTTAGTATGTATACAGGGTGTTTATTAATTGAGTGCCGATACTTAAGGGTGTGAATCCTTGGGTGATTTTAAGAAGAAAAGTTAATATCAACATATGTCGTAAATCTCTTAATTTTTGAGCTACAGGGTGTTACAGTTTTAAGAAAAAAAAAATATTTTTTTTTCATAATTTTCTTATCACTGCAGATATTTCTATGAAATTTGGTAAACACATTTTAATCATTAAGGAGCATTTTTTGACGTATAAGATTTTTTTAAATTTTGACCAGTGACTTTCGTACGGGGTTTGAACTGAATATTTTTGAAGAAAAAAATGGTACGCCACTGCTTTTTCTAAAATCCAAAATTATTTTTGAAATATTCATTTATTTTTGAGCAAATTTGGCCCATAGACTTGCTTTCGTACGATGCACTGTGTTAGCGTAAAAAATAAAAACCAAAATTTTTTTTCTTAAGCTGCTTTTGATTTTTTGTTGAAATTTGGTAGGCACCCACCATGCGTGAAAACACTTATTTTGGGGCAAAAATTAATTTTCTACTTCTACCAGTGACGGCCACGTAGGCATCATATTGACTGTTTGGATAGAAAAAAAAAACGTACACACGTGATTTTTTTAAATTCTATGTATTTTAAAAATCGGGATTTATTTATAGTAAAATGAAAATTCAAAATCTTGAATCTAAAACGAAATTACAAGAGAATACAAACAAAATAAAGAACCCAAATTATTTACAGTAATTGTTGGAAGTGTCCTCCACCCACACGTATGCAAGCATCTACTCTTCTTCGCATAGACTGACGCACATTTTCAAAGATTCCTGGGGTGTTTCTTATGGTTTGGCAGCAGACTGTTATACGATTTCGTAACTCTTCTTCGGTTTGAATCGGCACTGCGTACACTAAGCTTTTCAGATGCCCCCAGAAAAAGAAGTCTAAACTATTAAGGTCGGGAGATCTAGGCGGCCGTGACTGCGTTCCTCCGCGACCTATCCACCGATTGCGATAGGTGTGATTTAAAAATTTACGCACTCGTAAGCTAAAATGTGGAGACGCACCATCGTGCATTAGCCACATCTGGTTTCTTAATGAAAGAGGAAGGTCTTCAAGCATTGGCGGCAGATCATCTTCAAGGAAGTGTAAATATGATTGTGCATCAAGACTTCTTGGGAGAAAAAATGGGCCTATCAAATAATCATCAATAATGCCAGCCCAAACATTTAATGAGAACTGTTCTTGATAATTTGACTCAACAATTGCATAAGGGTTTTCATCCGCCCATAAATGGTTATTATGGAAATTTATTATTGAGTTTCGAGAAAAATTAGCTTCATCGGTAAAAAGAATGTGCCTGTCAAATAATGGATTTTCCAGCAGGTTTTGAAGAAACCACTCACAGAAATTAATTCGCAACGGGAAAGCTCTAGGGAGTAATGCCTGGACTCTTTGAATGTGATATGGGTATAACAAATTTTCGATGAGAATTTTCCAAACAAGTACATGTGAAACATTAAATGTTGACGCGATTCTCCTCGTGCTAGTTTCGGGGTTCTCCTCAATTTCATGTAAAATTCCTTCTTCAAGTTTCGGTGTTCTTACTGTTTGATGGACTCCTTTAGCCCTGTGGTCTACTTTTAAAGTTCCGGTCTCGTGAAGACGTCTATGAATCCTAGAAAATGTTCTCGGATCGGGTAGTACGCGATTTGGATACCGCTCTTGGTATATCCATCTGGCTTCGTATGCATTTCCGTCTGCAAGCCCATAACTAAAATGCATGTCAGCTAATTCACTGTTCGTAAAATTTACCATTTTTTTTTCAGATTCTAACTCTTACTCTAATAATAATTATTTAATAATGTAAAATCAATGTCAACTTTATTGTCTTTGTGAAAAGAAACGTCAAAAATGATGACGCTTTACCCAGCCTACTAATGTTTATTTCATTTGTTTTAAGAGGGCAATAATGCGCTTACCATTTTTTTCTATTCAAAACGTAGAAAATTAATTTTTGTCCCAAAAAAATGTTTCCACGCATGGTGGGTGCCTACCAGATTTCAACAAAATATCAAAAGCAGTAGGTATCAATGAATTTAGGGAAAAAATTTGACCAACCACTACAATGGTTTTTATTTTTTTACGCGAAAACGGTGCATCGTACGAAAGTAAGTCTATGAGCCAAGTTTGCTCCAAAATAAATGATGATTTCAAAAATAATTTTGGTTTTCAGAAAAAGCAGTGGCGTACCATTTTTTTCTTCAAAAATATTCAGTTCAAACCCCGTACGGACGTCACTGGTAAAAATTTAAAAAAATCTTACACGTCAAAAAATGCTCCTTAATTATTAAAACGTGTGTACAAAATTTCATAGAAATATCTGGAGTGATAAAAAAATTATGATAATAAAGTAATTTTTTTCTTAAAATTGTAACACCCTGTAGCTCAAAAATTAAGTGAGTTACGACATATGTTGATATTAACTTTTCTTCTTAAAATCACCTAAGGATTCACACCCTTAAGTATCGGCACTCAATTAATAAACACCCTGTATATAATATACTGAAATAATGATTATCCACCCATTTAAATAATTTTCTGCATACGCCAATGCCACCACATAATCTCAGTAACCTGATAACCGAGGCGCATGCGTACTTTTAGAAAATCTTAACAGACATCACATGACTTCTATATACTTCAGCATGACTTCCATAAACTTCATCTTGACTCCCATGGACATCATCATGACTTCCATGGATTCTATGGACTTCCTCCTGACTTTCATGACTTCACACTGACTTCAAGTGACTTCAAAGAACTTCCACAGACTTCTATTTATTTTCAAGGGACTTTCTTGAGTCTGTACACCAGACTTCCTCAGTGGTTTGCCCTTTCATTTTAAGAAGCTCTTCCTCTTAAAATCATAGAAACAAACATGTTTAAAAATAATCCGTCTATCTGAAGAGCTAAGAAGAAGCTATGCTCAAACTCAAAGAGATAATAAATGGATTTAATGCTTCGAAGCTCAAATCACCCTCACTGGCAAATTAATGTATTGATAATATTTCTGTTTGTTTTAGTACCAGCAATGTCTGTAATGGGTGACCCGAGCTTTGCTGGCTGGGCCGCCCAGCGTGCCTCCGGCTTTGGCGGAAACATGACCGTTGTAGACAAAGTAAGTAAAATTATAATTTTCACAATGAAAGGAATGCATTTTAAATGATTAATCAATTTAAATTAGGTGTTGCCGGACATGTTACACATGGTCGACGCATATTGGTACCAATTTCCACCAATGAACCCACTATGGCACGGCATTCTGGGATTCATGATTGGAGTCTTGGGCTTCATCTCCATTATAGGAAACGGAATGGTCGTCTACATCTTTATGGGTACTAAGGCGCTTAGAACGCCCTCTAATTTGCTCGTTGTGAATCTGGCTTTCTCGGACTTTCTTATGATGACTACTATGGCTCCTCCTATGGTTATAAATTGTTATTACGAAACATGGGTTTTAGGTAAGCAATTGTTTATTCAAATTTAGTTTCTTCTAAAAATTGTACGAAGGCTAAAGGATTTTAGAATGTATTCCAGATCTCTAAATCTAATAGTGTTATGAACATGTCGTTCAATTATATTTTATGTATATATTCGGGCTTAGCCAAGGAAGTTAATAATTGTATTTACTTACTAAAAAACATGTATTTCATACACAACTAGTTAATGATAAGTATTTTTGTCTAGGTCCGTTCTTTTGTGAACTGTATGGAATGTTTGGATCACTATTCGGCTGTGGTTCAATCTGGACTATGGTCTTCATAGCATTGGACAGGTACAATGTTATTGTCAAAGGTCTAAGTGCTCAACCTCTTACTAAGAAAACCGCTATGCTCAGGATTCTGCTCATTTGGGCCATGTCAGTCGGCTGGACCCTTGCACCAATTTTTGGATGGAACAGGTAATACAAATTAATTTATAGATGAAATAGGTTTAAAGTTCAGAAAAACTATCGCTTAAGGACAGAGTATCCTTGTGCATTAGAATGGGGTCTGCAGACCAAAAGTTAATTGTAACTATTTCCGTAATTATATCGTATATCGTACTATTTTTTTTTTAATTGTAGATAAAGGTCCAACTTAGGTGGTTCAGGCATTGATTTTTTTTAAATTAATTATTTTTAATTAAAAACGTGTGGTAGAAAATGGCCTATTTTTAGACATTTTTCATTGTAAGTGTAACAACCAACTTGCCTAAAGACCATTTGTAACTACTGATAGGTCTTGGCTACTGTTGTTAATATACTATTAAGGGATTAGGGCAGCGCCGTCACCAGCCAAAGGGTCCTGGAGTCCTGAAGGAACATCCATTCAACAGTGGCAAATAAAAATAAAAAAATTAAATTAAAAGAACAAAAAAATTATCTCTTAATAGCATAGTCTAGCGGTTCTTGGCAACTAGTTTTAGACTCTTTTAGTCCTAAGGGAATAGAAACGCCGAGGCTTCTCAAATGCTCGGAGTATTTTGCTGGTTTTGGAAAGGGAGGAGAGATTAATAATAAGTATTAAAACATTAACAAATGTATATTAACAATAAATATAAAATTTGACAAAGTCTTAAGAAAAAAATTAATAAAATTTCATTTAGGGAATAAAGCACTATAACTACATAGTAATATAAAGATATGCAAAAGATAAATATAATTCAGGACGAAGATTTAAAATTGGCATTTATATGTAAATCAATCAATCAATTATTATTAAACAAAACACTTTAAAATTAAGTTAAAATATTTACCCATAATTCATATCGTACACAAAACTTTACTCTACACATTACTTTACAATACATAACGAGAGCTTTCGCCCCTGGGGCAAAAATTCTGGACCTTACTCCGAACTCGACTGAGAGTTTACCCAAGCGATCCTTTCTTTTTGTCTCCTCTCTATATAAACCAAAATTTACGTGATGGTTGGTTGTATTTAAAAATGTCACGTTCAATGTAGATTAATAACTTGAAGGTTTGTTTTATTTTCATACGTGTCTTTTTAATTATTTAATTTAAACATTAAATACTTATTTAGAATTTTTGGTAAATTCTTTAGATTTTTTCAAATAATAATAATGCCAATTATTACATAAGAATAAACTACAAATACAATAAATTTTCTGAAAATAAAACCTTGAACTACTTAAGTTAAACATTTTCCTATCAAATCGTTCAATCGGAAAATACGAAAACACTCAGACCTCCGAAATAGTTATAAATAAAAATTGGGTTGCATTTTATGTGTAATCCATTATTTAAAAAATGTTGGACTAAAAATGGCGTCCTCACTTTCCGAAAATAATCAATAATTAATTCATCCCTGCTTCCATAGATGGATCGAAAAGATATTACATTTCGTTTATGCTTTTACAACATAAAAACGAATTAAAATTTGATAACATCAAATGTTTTCTTTTTTTAAATATATTGTAGTATTTAAAAATAATAAGTACACTAATACGAGTTATTAAAATAACAAAAAGAATATAGAATGTGTGATATTAATTTACAGTCGAGCAATGATCGCCTGGTTGAATTTGATTACGTTCTTGAGTGATGATATTTAGATGAGCAGCTGGGTTTAAATACGAGGGTTTTAAAAATAAGTGAAATTTTAATAATAAATACGATGTACTCTTTTTTTAATTTTTGAATATTTTAACTTTAAAGTAGTTTATATTACAGTATCGAAAATAAATAGAGTTACTATTATAAGCAGATACAACAGTGATAGTAACAATAGTAGTCTTTTTATGTTGTGGTAGTTAAGATTCGGTATCGACGGAGAGTTAACTCTATTCATTTTTGTTACTGTGGTATATAGATATTATAATAGAGATAAAACAGAAACACATATAAATTAGATCACTTGCTTCTAAAAAAATAATCCCGATAGGATAGTTTATATAGCTATTATTTTTTTACTTTCGTATCCCAACGGGATAGTGTATGAGTAAATAACAAAAATTTACATCAATCAATATAGAAAAAGATAATCTTTACGTAGGTAACTTCATAATCGAATGTGTTAAAATTTTAAATAAATAAAACCTTTATAAATATACAACTTTAATAAAAGTACCACTTTTTAGTTTTAATGAGTTAAATATATAAAATTTCAAAACAAATCAAAATAAATTAGATATACAATATTAGCAGATTAGCTAGGTACCTGTATTTCACGAAATTTTTTATAAATAAGTAAATTAAATAAAATAAAAAAACTTAAAACAAAAACATTTTTATTAATTTTAAAAAGATAATACATAATTTATTTACTCTTCGGCAGATCTTTGCACTTTAATGTTCTACCTCTTCTATTCAAAATTATTTCCGGGCCCACACAATCCTCATAAAAACTCTCAGTTTCTCTATTAGATTTAAAAAAAAAAATCATCAAAATATATTTTTTCAATAAAAAGAGGATTCTCATCTCCTACATAAACTATAAAATGGCACATTCTCCTTTGTGAGATACCGAGTGCTCCTTGAATCTAAAAACATAATAATTTTTAATTTGTTAGAAAATATAGCTTTCATTAAATTACTTTGAAATGTAGTCAGAAATCTCACCTGATAATAGTAATTGTGGTTCTCCTTTAAATGAATTTCATTTTCAATTCTTTAACAAGGAACTATTTTTTTCTCTACTTCCTCTCTCAATGAAAGATTAGATGTGGCTACTTTTAAAAAACATTTAACCTCGACAAGTTCATTAGAATTAATTAAACCTAAAAAATAGAAAAATTATTAAACTATTGTTATAATACGTAAATAATTATCGCTAGGTGATGCACCTAGGAACCCATATTGCACATCAACACATAACCCGAATGGTAGAGCTCAATTTTTATGTGAAGAGCACATTTCGTCATAGCTATGCCACAGTTCGCGCAGTACGTCATAACTTTGTGGAGCTTTAGTTGATGGCGCTGGGCTGAAATCTGCTGCGGTAGGGGTACCTGATATCTTAGCAGTGGCGTGTGTACATTAATAAAATATTTTAAAACGAACATATTAATAAGTTCATGGTAAATTTTAACTATTCGTTAGTTAAATTGCTAATGAACTTTAAATTAATAAAACAAATAAAAGTTTAAATAAATAATATATTTTAATTTAATTTGTATAATTTTAAACATTTTCATCATCTTCATCTTCATTATCTTCCAAGTCGGAAATATCGGATTCCCACTCATCGGATGACCCCGTGTTTACACTAAATATGAGGGAATCTGTAAATTCATCCATAAGGTGTTCTCTTTGAATATATGCATCCTCATATTCGCGGAATGGTCCACCACATTTGCCCATTCCTCCGACGTTATGCTTCAGAATTTTTCTCTTGGCAACTTTTCAACATTATCCAACTTGAATGTTGTGTTCTGTTGACACACCCAATTTTTTACTGTGGCCCATATTTTTTTATGGGATTTATGATGATATGATGATATGGAGGTAATCGTAGAACTTTGTGTTCATGTTCTTCGAGAAGATCGTCTAAAAGAAATTTTGGTGGAGGTCTGTGAACTTTTATTAATGTGTACAGTTCTTGTTTGGTCATTTTAGCATCATGTGGTATATTGTTTTTAACGAGCCAGTTAATTAAACCTGCTTTTTTGGTCTGCGTTGTAATCGATTTTTCAAATTTTACATTATGATAACTTGCATTATCGATTACAAGTACAGACCTTGGAGGAAGATTTGGTAGTAATTGCCTTCTAACACATTGGGAAAAATTATTCCAGTTTATTTCATCATGATAATCTCCTGTCTTTTTCCCTGAAAAAAAGTAAAAAAGAATTTATTATCTATAATGCAAGTATATTTTTCATAATTATTTTTGTATGATACTTAAACTTACAAAAAACTCTTTTAAATGAAATAATTATTAGGAATTTTAAATCACTAAAAATAATCTGTTTTTAGAAGAAATATTCCTTCCAGATGATAAGACTTATTATAATAATCCTAAGAAAAAGTTATTACTAAAAACTTTCCCTTGAATAACAATAAAGGATTAAGTACAGGTAAAGATCTTTTAACTAAACTGAAGATAATAAAATAAACCACTACATTAAGTACTTAAATTACTTGTTAATTAGATACTTTAACAGTTTAAATTAAATTTAAGCTGATCATAACTTTCGATTGTTAAGCATCATGGATTTTTATGAAGTAGGTAAAGACACATATAATAAATAATTTTCTATAAAAAATAGATTATTACCTGAAGTAAATATCAACAGTCCATTTTCTACAAAACCATCCTTACTCCCTGCATGCAACATTATGAGCCTTTTCCCCTCGCTCATTGGAGTTTGCCTTTGACATCGATCCATCCTTTCAAATGTGTATGACTACTATGTAAATAGGTCTCATCACAATAATAAATAGTTCTGCCCTCTTGCCGATAATTTATTAATGATTTTAAATAATTTGTCCTCTTATTTCTAATGTCGTAGGATTCCAACAGAACAGATCTGTTGTCTTCATTTTTGACCACCTGAAAAAATAAACATTGTAATTTTATACGTACAAAAATTGACTATGAGAAATTAATTATTTTGGTATCATTTTATTTTGATTTTTTTAGATAACGTTATTTATACTTACTTAAAACCCATGTTTAATAATATTTTCCTGGAATTCAAATCAGCAATCCTTCATTTTTTGTAATATACCTAAAATAATATTTATATTAAATACGTTGCCATTATAATAAAAATAGTAACTTACAATTTAGAGTGGGTAGTCTTTTCCCAATAATATGAAAATCATGGATTATACCTCTGAGTTTTTCCAACTCTTCAGGTCTTATAGATTCTACAACTGTACTTCTTTTTGTATATCCTCTTTGTGAAAATGAAGTGCTAACTCCACTCTCTACTTCACCAGCCATCTTCTTAATT